TTGAGATCTAATCTTACTGCACTGCGGTCAGAAAAGATGACTGGAATGATTTCAATTTTTTTGAATTTTCCAAGACTAGATTTATGGCCCAGGATGTGATCTATTCTGGAGAGGGTTCCGTGTGCACTTGAGAAAAAGGTGAAGTTGATTGTTTTGGGGTGAAATGTCCTATAGATATCAGTTAGGTCTAGCTGGTCCATTGTGTCATTTAAGGTTTGTGTTCCCTTGTTAATTTTCTGTTTAGTTGATCTATCCATAGTTGTGAGTGGGATATTAAAGTCTCCCACTATTATTGTGTTACTATTAATTTCCTCTTTCATACTCGTTAGCGTTTGCCGTACATATTGCAGTGCTCCTATGTTGGGTGCATATATATTTATAATTGTTATATCTTCTTCTTGGATTGATCCTTTGATCATTATGTAGTGTCCTTCTTTGTCTCTTTTCACATCCTTTATTTGAAAGTCTATTTTATCTGATATGAGTATTGCGACTCCTGCTTTCTTTTGGTCTCCGTTTGCCTGAAACGTTTTTTTCCAGCCCTTCACTTTTAGTCTGTATGTGTCTCTTGTTTTGAGGTGGGTCTCTTGTAGACAGCATATATAGGGGTCTTGTTTTTGTATCCATTTAGCCAATCTTTGTCTTTTGGTTGGGGCATTCAACCCATTTACATTTAAGGTAATTATTGATAGGTGTGGTCCCGTTGCCATTTACTTTGTTGTTTTGGGTTCACGTTTATACAACCTTTCTGCATTTCCTGTCTAGAGAAGATCCTTTAGCATTTGTTGAAGAGCTGGTTTGGTGGTGCTGAATTCTCTCAGCTTTTGCTTGTCTGTAAAGCTTTTGAATTCTCCTTCATATCTGAATGAGATCCTTGCTGGGTACAGTAATCTAGGTTGTAGGTTATTCTCTTTCATTACTTTAAGTATGTCCTGCCATTCCCTTCTGGCCCAGAGGGTTTTTATTGATAGATCAGCTGTTATCCTTATGGGAATCCCTTTGTGTGTTATTTGTTGTTTCTCCCTTGCTGCTTTTAATATTTGTTCTTTGTGTTTGATCTTTGTTAATTTGATTAATATGTGTCTTGGGGTGTTTCACCTGGGGTTTATCCTGTTTGGGACTCTCTGGGTTTCTTGGACTTGGGTGGCTATTTCCTTCCCCATTTTAGGGAAGTTTTCAGCTATTATCTCCTCGAGTATTTTCTCATGGCCTTTCTTTTTGTCTTCTTCTGGGACTCCTGTGATTCAAATGTTGGGGCATTTCACATTGTCCCAGAGGTCCCTGAGGTTGTCCTCATTTCTTTTGATTCTTTTTTCTTTTTTCCTCTCTTCTTCATTTATTTCCACCATTTTATCTTCTACCTCACTTATCCTATCTTCTGTCTCTGTTATTCTGCTCTTGGTTCCCTCCAGAGTGTTTTGATCTCATTTATTGCATTATTCATTTTTAATTGGCTCTTTTTTATTTCTTCTAGGTCTTTATTAAACATTTCTTGCATCTTCTCAATCTTTGTCTCCAGGCTATTTATCTGTAGCTCCATTTTGTTTTCAAGATTTTGGATCATTTTTATTATCATTATTCTAAATTCTTTTTCAGGTAGATTCCTTATCTCCTCCTGTTTTGTTTGACTTGGTGGGCATTTTTCATGTTCCTTTATCTGTTGGGTATTTCTCTGCCTTTTCATCTTGTTTAGATTGCTGTGTCTGGAGTGGGCTTTCTGTATTCTGGAGGTCTGTGGTTCCTTTTTATTGTGGAGGTTTTACCCAGTGGGTGGGGTTGGACGATTGGCTTGTCAAGGTTTCCTGGTTAGGGAAGCTTGTGTCGGTGTTCTGGTGCGTGGAACTAGATTTCTTCTCTCTGGAGTGCAATGGAATGCCCAGTAATGAGTTTTGAGATGGGTCTATGTGTTAGGTGTGACCTTGGGCAGCCTGTATGTTGACGTTCAGGGCTATGTTCCTGTGCTGCTGGAGAATTTGCGTGGTATGTCTTGCTCTAAAACTTATTGGCTCTTGGGTGGTGGTTGGTTTCAGTGTAGGTATGGAGGCTTTTGGACGGTCTCTTATTACTTAATGTTCCATGCAATCAGGAGTTTTCTGGTGTTCTCAGGTTTTGGGCTTAAGTCTCCTGCCTCTGGATTTCAGTCTTATTCTTCCAGTAGTCTCAAGACTTCTCCAACTATACACTGATAATAAAACTTCTAGGTTAATGGTGAAAAGATTCTCCCCCGTGAGGGACACCCAGAGAGGCTCACAAAGTTACATGAAGAAGAGGAGAGGGAAGAGGGAGATAGAGGTGAGCAGGAGGAGAAAAAGGGGGACTCAAGAGGAGAGAGACAGATTTACGCAGTTGTCTGTTCCCAGAGTGTTCTCTGTAGCCCAGACACCCACAAAGATTCACAGAACTGGATTGGGAAGAGAAGGGGAAAGGAGGAAATAGAGGTGTTCTGAGGTAGAAAACGGAAAGTCAAGATTGGGAGAGAGTAATCAACGCACTCCTGAATAAAAATGGGAACTGAATATTAGATTCTTAAATGTCCACAATTTACACCATATACTGAAAAACAAAGATTAAAAATCTAGAGTAGAGGTTAGACTCTTAAAAATACAATATTAAAAACAAAAACCAAAACACAAAAAAATTTTAGAAATATATATGAAGTTCGGTTTAAAAATAGGGCTTTTTTTTTTTTGCAAGGTTATAGTGTAATGAAAATGAAAATTAAGGAGTAGTAGAGGAGTAATAGAGGACTTTAAAAGGAAATAAGAGAAAAAGAAAAAATAGAAAAAAGAAGAGAAAAAGAAAAAAAGGAAAAAAAATTTTCCTAATTAAAAAAATTGTAAAAATCTATGAAAATGAAAGTTAAGGAGTAATGGGGGAGTAATAGGGAATTGTAAAAGAAAATAAAAGAGAAAAAAGAAAAAAAAATTTTTTTTAATTAAAAAAAAAAGTAAAAATGTATCTAGGAATTTCTCTGGAGCTGTTGCGGTCAGTGTGGGTTTGGTTCAGTTTCAGATAGCTCCTCGTTCCAGTTTACACTTCTCGATATCCACAGGTCCCTTCCGGTGTAGTCGGTGTTATCTACAGGGAATTTAATCTGTTGCACCGGTCCCTTATGAAGTGGTTCCCTTTGTTTATTTGGCTTCTGTTTGCCAGTCTCTTCAGTGCCTAATTTCCGCCCTGACACAGGCGGGCGGAGGTGGTCTCTTAATCAGGTTGCTAGGTCCGTCGCGCTGCGGGGAGGGACTGGCGCTGCTTTCCCCGTCTACGCTGCTCAGGCTCCCAGCTGTTCTATATGGAGCGTGCCCTGCACTGCGCGCGGTTCCAGCCCTCAGGTGTTCCACAAAAGCGCGGAACAAAAAACTGTGCCTGTGTTTTGTGCCTTCCCCATCCGAGCGGCTCAGGCAGCCAGGAGCTTGACGGGCGCACTCTCCCCGGGTGCGGCGCGCCTTCTCCCCTCCGCCCGCGCTGGTTGGGTGCCTTCGCCCTGTGTCTCCCAGCGACCCTCCCGGCGGATGTTGCCCATCCAGAATCTCAGGAAGTCTTTGGTTAGAAACTGGAGGCCTGTTTGCAGTGTGGTAGGGGATGCGGTCCTTGGGGCCGAGCCTGCCCCTTTCCCCTCCCCGCTGCCTCCTGCCTCCAGCGGGGCTGGGCCGGTCCGCAGCCTTCGAGCCCTTCTCTGGACGTGCTCAGACCCTTTGTTCTGCGAACGGCCGACAGTGTGTTTGGGTGGTTAATTTTCTCTCTCTCTCTTGCTATCCCACAGTTTAAGTTGGTAACTCACAAAAGCTCCCTCCGATCGTCCTCAGGGCACTCAGGCCCGGTCCTTACCCTAAGCAATGCCGCCCACTCCTTTACGTTCATCCCCCACTTACTGGTGGCAGATGCAGGCGTCTGGGGTACTTTTCTGCTGGGAGTTGCTTTTAGGCACGTAATCTGTACGTTTTATTTATTGTTCCCCTCCCAGTCAGGTTGCCTTCCAAGATTCAAAAACTTCCGCCAGACCCACCAGTGTGAGGGTTTCCTGGTGTTTGGAAAGTTCCTCTATTAAGACTCCCTTCCCGGGACGGATCTCCGTCCTTAGCTCTTTTGTCTCTCTTTTTATCTTTTATATTTTGTCCTACCTCCTTTCGAAGATAATAGGCTGCTTTTCTGGGCGCCTGATGACCTCAGCTAGCGATCAGAAGTTGTTTTGTGAAGTTTGCTCTGCGTTCAATTGTTCTTTCGATGAATTTGTAGGAGAGAAAGTGGTCTTCCCGTCCTATTCCTCCGCCACCTTGGCTCCTCCCAACAATTAAAATTTTAATTTATTTATATTGGATTCAAATTTTTTGTTTGTGATTTCTTTCTAGGTAAAAAGCCATGAAAATATTGTATTTTCTAAGTCCCACTTAACCATAGGCCAGTTTTCATTGTAAAACATAGAAGCCTTCAGTTCAGTTCAGTTCAGTCGCTCAGTTGTGTCTGACTCTTTGTGACCCCATGAATCGCAGCATGCCAGGCCTCCCTGTCCATCACAAACTCCCAGAGTTTACTCAAACTCATGTCCATCGGGTCGGTGATGCCATCCAGCCATCTCATCCTCTGTCGTCCCCTTCTCCTCCTGCCCCCAATCCCTCCCAGCATCGGGGTCTTTTCCAGTGAAGCCTTAGTGGAAGACAAAATAAGACTACCCTGTCTCATTGTCCCCAGTTAAGGGCTTCTCTGATATGCTCATGATTATGCTTTCAGAAGCCAAGTCTTTTATGAAAACATCCCGAGCTTGGCTGGTTATTAGGGGAGGGGAGGTCACAAAATGAGCATTCAGATTATCCTTTTTTAGTAGAGGTTGACTGTACTTCTTTGACCATATTAAGAAAAATTAACATTACAAATGTGAACTTAAGCTCTATTAAACTTAAACGACTTAATTGTTAGTGTTGGATGACAGACTGCCTTGTTGTCTTTCTAATTAAAATTTAATTTTATGTACTTTATTTTTTCCTGTTTTATTTTAAACATAGGGAATCATTTTTTCCAAGACTGCACTTAGCAACTATGATTTTTTGACAACAGACATGCTTAACAAGTACATTCAGAAGATCCCAGCTAAACGATTTGGAGTTCCTGAGGAGGTAATGTATATTTCTAACATTGATGAATTACTTTGTTTTATACTTTGGAGATTTGTAACATTTTAGTGTCCTTTTCATGTAGTCTGATTGGTTAATAGAGAAGATTGCTCCCATGCCCCCAAACTATGTTCCCTGTGCTTTTTGGCTGCCAGGAATACTGTGCTCCTGGTGCCTTGGATACTCACAGCAGTATTTATTCAGGAATGAATGCAGTGTCGGTTAAGAGCAGCATGTTTTTATTGTTTTATTGCACTTTTCAGCTCTTTTCAGTTGTTTTATAGTACACAGAATCTCAGATATGCAGATGATACCACCCTTATGGCAGAAAGTGAAGATAGAGCTTCTTGATGAAAGTGAAAGAGAAGAGTGAAAGAGCTTAAAGCTCTTTCATTAAGAGCTCTCTTAAAGCTCAACATTAAGAGAACTAAGATGATTGCATCCAGTCCCATCACTTCATGACAAATAGATGGGGAAAGAGTGGAAACAGTGGCTGACTATTTTTTTGGGCTCCAAAATCACTGCAGATGGTGACTGCAGCCATGAAATTAAAAGATGTGTGCTCCTTGGAAGGAAAGTTATGACCAACCTAGATAGCATATTAAAAAGCAGAGACATTACTTGGCCAACAAAGGTCCATCTAGTCAAGGCTATGGTTTTTCCAGTGGTCATGTGTGGATGTGAGAGTTGGACTATAAAGAAAGCTGAGTGCCGCAGAATTGATGCTTTTGAAGTGTGGTGTTGGAGAAGACTCTTGAGAGTCCCTTGGACTGCAAGAAGATCCAGTCAGTCCATCCTAAAGGAAATAAGTCCTGAGTGTTCATTGGAAGGACTGATGTTGAAGCTGAAACTCCAATACTTTGGCCACCTGATGTGAAGAGCTGACTTATTTGAAAAGACCCTGATGCTGGGAAAGATTGAGGGCAGGAGGAGAAGGGGACAACAGAGGATGAGATGGTTGAATGGCATCACCAACTCAATGGACATGAGCTTGGGTAAACTCAGGGAGTTGGTGATGGACAGGGAGGCCTGGCATGCTGTGGTCCATGGGGTTGCAAAGAGTTGGACATGACTGAGCAACTGAACTGAACTGAGCACAGAATCTAAGCAAGTCAGACAATTATGACAAAATGAAGTTCCATACCTGATTTCTGTAAGGTGACCAGTTTTAAGTCTGTAAAAATCAATAGCTTTCTTAAATGCCAACAAGATCAGTCTTAAAATCTAATTTTTTAAAAAGGAGATGTATTCCACAATAATAAGAATAAAAACTAAAAAACCCAGAGTAAACTTAACTCTAAACGAAAAAAAGTTTATTACTGAAGAACAGAAAAAAAAGACCAGAATAAATAGAGACATGCCATATTCCTCAATGGAGAGACTCAATTTTACTAAAATCAAGTTTCCCTAAATCACACAAACACATTTAATATATCTTTGGAATTAATACATTGATTCTAAAATTTTCCCTAGAAAAATATTTATGCCAAAGTGCCCAAAATGTTTTGAATAAGAATAATGAGGGGATTTGACCTTCCTGCTATCAAAACATAGTGTAGGGCTTCCCTGGTGGCTCAGTGGTAAAGAATCTGTCTGCCGATGCAGGAGACACGGATTCGATCTCTAGCCCGGGATAATCCCCCATGCTACAAGTAGCTAAACCCATGTGCCGCAGCTATTGAGCCTGTGGTATAGACCGCAGGAGCCACAACTACTGAACCCACGTGCCACAACTACTGAAGGCCGTATGCCCTGGAGCCCCGTGCTCGGCAACAAGAGAAGTCACTGCAAGGACCAGCCTGCTCTCCACAGCTGGAGGCTGGCCCCTGTTTGCCACAGCTAGAGAAAAACCCGCACAACAGTGAAGACCCAGCATGGCCAGAAAGAAAGAAAATTATGTAACCACCCCCGCAAAATGCACACTATAAAGCTATAGTTGTTTCCTACATTTGGGGCTGGTACTGGAAGAGATTAAAATTAGTGGGATAGAATGGACTCTCATATCAGTACTGTACACACACACACAGGAGTTTCTAGGATAAAAGTAACATTTCAAATCTACAGGGAAAGAATATTCAGCAAAAGTCTTGCAGCAGTTGGCTGTTCATTTAGAAATAGAGTCACCCATCTCATATCACATACAAAATAATTTTCAGATATATTAAAATGCTAAATATAAAGGCAATGCCATAAAACTCTAAGAGAAAAATGTGTTCTAACTCCTAGAGCTAGCTTTCATTATCAGTTTGATGTGTATCTTTCCAGAAATTTACTGTGTGTGCTTAAAGATATTTCTATTTACTGACCTTTTTTGTTTTTAGAAAAATGGGATTCTATTGTGTGTTTTTCTGCAACTTTCTATGGCTGTAGCATTAGATCCTGTTGCTGCACATTGAGATTTTATTAATTTTTTTAGATTGTAATAATTCTGCAGTGAACATTCTTGACTATAGTCATGAACTCTTATGTGGAGGGTAGCTTTCTAGAAGTAGAATTCCTGAACTAAAATAGACTTACATATTAAATTTCAGAAGATACTGTTAAATCCAACATTTGATGAGCTGTTTTGAGCAAGGTGCCAGATTTTTGTTTGGAAAACTGAGAGTGATTTTGAAAGAATTTTAATCAAGGGATTTATCTGATTAAGCTTTTATTTTGGAGAGAATCCTCCTTATGTTTTCTGAACAATTATATATTGTCTATATGCTGTGCTGTGCTTAGTCATTGAGTTGTGTTCAACTCTTTGAGACCCCATGGACTGTAGCCCACCAGGATCCTCTGTCCATGGCCTGTAGTTACTGCATTAAAATTTGACATTGAGAAACTCAAGAAATATTTATGAATTCTTTTAAAATAATCTTAATAAAATCATGGATGTTAGAGCTGGAACATAAAGAAGGCTGAGCACTGAAGAATTGATACTTTTGAATTATGGTGTTGGAGAAGACTCTTGAGAGTCCCTTGGGCTGTAAGGAGATCCAACCAGGCCATCTTAAAGGAAATCAATCCCTAATATTCACTGACGGGATTGATGCTGAAGCTGAAGCTCCAGTACTTTGGCCACCTGATGCGAAGAGCCAACTCATTGGAAAAGACCCTGATTCTGGGAAAGATTGAAGTCAGGAGGAGAAGGGGATGACAGAGGATGAGATGGATGGATGGCATCACCAATTCAATGGACATGAGTTTGAGCAAGCTCTGAAAGATGGTGAAGACAGGGAAGCCTGACATGCTGCTGTCCATGAGGTTCCAAAGAGTTGGATACGACTGAGCAACTGAACAACAAATGAAGGCATTGCATACTATAATATTTTTAATGAAAAATAGCTGCATTTTAAAATACAAAAATGAACAAGTTTTGCTTGGTTGTACATGTTTTACCCAGCTCTTTAATGTGTGGCTTAATAGAAAACAGCTGGACTTGCACACCTGCTCTTGCTTGCAGCCTGTTAGAATATGTCGTTTTGGTAGAGCATGCAAAGAAGATCTGGCTTCATGCCAGTTAAAATAAAAGGAGGAGTATTGTAGCAGTCTTTTTGAGTAACTGTGGACATTCTTCTTTAATAGTCAACAGGTGACAGTTTCTTTTTTTTCCTATTGCTGTGTATTTTGTGTATTAAATGACCTGCCCCATTACAATGTATTGGTACATACATGATGCTTCCACGGTAGCACTAGCAGTAAAGAACCTCCCTGCCAATGCAGGAGACATAAGAGATGCAGGTTCTATCCCTGGATCAGGAAGATCCCCTGGAGGAGGGCATGGCAACCCACTCTAGTATCCTTGCCTGGAAAATCCCATGGACAGAGTTTTCTGGTGAGCTACATACAGTCCATAGGGTCACAAAGAGTCCAACACAACTGAAGCGACTTAGCACACACAGTACATACTTGATGTATGCACTAACGATACATTCTGTATATAATTATCATTTACTTCATGCATGAGGACAAAGTATGACTATTACATAATTATATTGTTTACTTCATGCATGAGTACAAAGTATGACTATTACATAATTATGTAGAACAAAATGTTATTTGTACACATTGCATTAAGTCAAATCAGCTCTAGTCACCATACTTAATCACAACCAATGACTTTCCTTAATCCCAAGTTTTGAGAAATCCACAACTCATCCATAAACATGCCTCTCTTCTCGCTTTGGGCCTATAGCATGTGGTGGTTTCTAGAAGTGAACTGTATCTGACATCGAGTTCTTACTTTTAAAAATATTTCTGTTTACTGACATTTTTACAAAAAGGAAATTCTACTGTATGTTCTTTTCTGCAACTTGCTAAGGATGTAGCATAGTATATTTAATTAGACCCTGTTGCACATTGGGATTTTATGTGCATTTTTATGTAAATATATATTTATGTTTCAGAAATACAAATTTATATTTCATAAAATCTCCCAGTTTTTCCTTACTAAACAAGACATCTTGTTGGACTAATGACTAATCAGCTCATGTGCACACATAACTATGGTGTCATATGTTCGAATTTTTAAAAATCTGTGGGCAACTCTGGCCATCTGAGGTCTTAGCACAGTCAAACAACAGGTAGTTGAGCCTATAGAGAGTATTGTTTTCCAGTGTCAACAACCATAAGGTGTTAGTCAGTGCTTAAAATACATAAGAAAATTGACCTCATAGTGTGTGTGTGTGTGTATATATATATTTTTTTTAATTTTAATATCCAATCTTAACAAGTGGCAGTTTCTTAAAGATTAATTGCAGTGTGGAATCTGAAGCCATTCAGTGAACTTTTTGTATTCCGTTATATTAAAATTCCTTAGTATTCCTTGCACTTTAACTGAGTCTTTGCATAGATGATTTTGTAACATCAAACGTTGCTCTTTTGGAAAATATTGATTCACTGAGTTATAGACATCTTCTGAATGTTGATACACAATTCTTGATGGAATACCATATGATCACATTTATGAATGTCACCACTGATCTCTTCCAAAAACTCTTTAGGTATTGGGAAACTGTCAAGGTCATGGTGACATGTATCAATGCAACTTTTCCAAAATTCTGGTTTTCACTTGAAAGCTCAAATCTTATCATTGACAACAAATGCTGTCAGTTGTTTTCAGCTGCAGTCTCACTTGGTTCATTTTTGGAAAAATGTATGCCAGATACCCAAGTGTGAATAACTGTAGTTTGTTAGTCATTCTCTCAAGCAAAAAACAGAAAAAAAAATGTTTTGTAAAAAAAATGACTAGTTTGGTTTGCAGCTCAAGTACGTGTTCTTTTCCTCTAGATAGTCTTTATACTTCCATATACAGCACAAGAGCTGAAGGTGTAATTCCCGCTTTATCACACAGGATATTAAAAAAATGTGTACCCAGTAGTCGAGATTAATATGATTAATAATTTTAGTGCTCATCAAGGACATTTGAAAGGGAAACAGACTCTCCCCTCCCACTCCCAGGAGTACTTGCTGGTGAAAAATATTGTGACTGTTAATATGATGCTTCATCTTTGTTTTCCTGCCATGACTTGTGCTGAGGGTCCAGGCATTTTCCCCATCATTGCTTTGGCACCATTAGTACAAATGTCAACACAGTGAAAACGACAGATAAGGACTCAGTATTGTTATGGAACAGTTGTGACTTCACAAATCCCCTGAGAAGATCTTAGGTATGCCCAGGGTTTTGCCACCCATGCTGTGACTAATTGGCAAGGTGAGCTTTATACTGCAATAAGCTGCAGAATAAGGAGTTTCAGTCTCTGTCTCATAGGGTCCTAGCATCTCCAGGTTATGTTTTCAAGATCCTCTGATGGCCCCAGCTAATGACTAATGTCACTTTTGGGGCTGAGTTCGACAATAGGCTATTGGTGGACTGTTCGGAACTGGTTATCAGTGAGTTGTCTTCTTTTAAGTAATAGCTATTGGGATTGACTAAGGAGGGTCATTGTAGCTGTAGTTTTAAAAGGAACTGCCAGAGCTCCTACGATGTCCCTCCACATCTCTTGGAGACAGAATGCAGCACTTGGCAGACCCCTCAAATGGCTTGTACTTGTACTCTACACTGATTTTACAAATTAGGAAACCAAGAGCCAGTGACGTTCAGTAATTTGCCTGAAGCCATACATAACTCATGTGGGCTTCCCAGGTGCTCCAGTGGTCAAGAATCCATCTACCAGTGCAGGAGATGCAAGAGACAAGGGTTTGTGTCTTTTCCAAGTTAGGTAATGGAAAATCCCTTTATTTGAGGGCGAGAGATGCAAAAAGATTCCTTCACTCTGTAAACACTTAATGAGTTATTTTATGCTGAACACTGTCAAAGGATGAGGCCACCACTCGATATTTGAAACAGAACTCAGCACTAAAGCACATTTATTCCTGGTCAGGCACAGTCTCTCAGGGTGGACTGTTGAGTTTTCTTTTTTTCCTTGGGGGAAGTATGGTTTTAGAGATTTGCAGACTTCCAGAGGCCATGGTTACTTGAGTGAGAGGGTCGTTGTTTGGCTGACACTCAGAAAGGAACTTATTGGCATGAGTCTTCTTGATTGGCTAACTTACAGGGTCAAGGAACTTTCACACTGATTGACTGGCTAACCAAACAGTATTCACAGGGTGAGTTGTCACTGATTGATCACACAGGGTAAAGCTAGTTCTGATTGTTACTTGTTTCCAGACCCCATCAGCCCTTTCCCAGGAATGTGGGAACTTTTAAATTACTAATTCCACACCAATTCTGTTCAACAGGAATGTGATAATAGTCACATAAGTAATGTTAAACTTTGTAATAACCACATTAAGAAAAGTTTTAAAAAGAGGTGAAATTAGTTTTAAAAATAATTCTTGTTTAACTTAGTATACCTAAAACATTATCATTTTAACAACTATTAATGAGACTATTTTACATATTTCTTTTCCAAGAAGAAAAAGTCTTCTGAATCTGATGTGTGATTTTATACTCACAGTGCCTCTCAATTCATACTAGCTGTGTGGAAATGTCTTGGTTGTGTCATATGGTTAGTGGCCTCATTTTTGGACAGTGCAGTCCTATACTTCCTTCTGGGGACACAAGGATGGAGGGAAGGCTATGCCCGCCTTCTCTCAGGTCTCAGAGCCTTAAAGAGGCATAGCCCTATGAACCCACACGCTGTAGTGCTCCATACAGGATCAGGACTGGGATGAGACAAGCAAGGCACAAACAATATTTAAGGACTCGCTTGCTTTCAATGTTGCTCAGGTGCAGGGTCCACCCGCCCCCCAGAGCGAGCACCTCCTAAACTGCTGCATCCCAAGCACCTCGTTAGTCTCACCCCTGTCTCAGCCCTGCTTGGCAGTAAAATGGAAGATTCTGGGGCTCCAACCCCAGAGATGACAACCCAGATGATTTTTTTTTTAATTATCTAAACATTTTATTATTATTTTTTCCATTTATTTTTATTAGTTGGAGGCTAATTACTTTACACCCAGATGATCTTAAGTAGAACCTTGGAGTCTGGAGTTTCAGTAAGCAGCCCTAGGGATTCTCATGTAGGAGCTTAAGATCATCCTTTGAGAAACTCGGCTTGTGTCAACAGCCTCATGTGAGACTCCGTTTACATCCAGTGAAATATTTCCATCTTTTTCTTTGGTTTTGGGAATGGGTGTTGCTGAACTCTCCAATCATCTATTTCTTGGGGCTGCAGTGGGATTCTGAAGTCCCTCTGATAGAAAGCTCCTGTACTCTGAGATTCTGGGCTTTGGGCCTGCGAGGACCATGGACTAAACAAGCTAGAATGCCAGTTTATTGTTACACAAACACAGTGACTGTTTCAGGGAGAAACCTATAAAAGGCATGCAATGGTGTTGAAAACAATGAGGATCGTGGAAGGAACTGAATTATTTGATGGGAGAGAGCAGACACTGGTTCCTTCATGTTGTTTTATTTATTTTAAAAAAGATTAAAAAAATTTTTTTGGCCACGTGACCCTGCTTACAGGATCCTAGTTCCTTGACCAGAGATTGAACCCCAGGCCCCCTGCAGTGGAAGCATGTAGTCTTAACCACTGGACCACTGGGAAAGTCCTTTAACGACTTCACAGTGTGTGATTCATTTCACACTGGAGGACAAAGGAGCCTGGCGTGTTACAGTCCCTGGTACTGCAAGGAGTCGAACACGACTTAGTGCCTGAACAACAACAAAAAAGGCTCTTTTTATCTTGTCTTCGCCCTAGTCACATCCCTGACTTTAATGATGCTTAAATAGAAAAAGGCATCTATTATGCACCTTCAGATTATAGTACACACAGCCTGACATTCTCGGCTGTAGGCTTCATGTTACAGTTCTGTAGTTTCAGATGTCCCTACTTGGAAATGGGAAGCAGCCAAAAGTGAGGAGTATCTAATTATTCGTGTGCATGTGTGTGCTTCTGTTTCCAGATCTCCTCCTTGGTATGCTTCCTGCTGTCTCCTGCTGCTTCCTTTGTCACCGGACAGCTGGTGTATGTGGATGGGGGCCAGTCTCTGTATGCACAGTTATTTGAGGTACCAGGTGAGTGGTCAGGAAATGAGTCTGTCCCTCACTTTGTGGCTTCTCCTGTTCAGGTTTTCACAATTCCTCTAGGTACTTAAGAGATAAGGGTTTTTTTTTCTCCTTGTAGAACATCAAAAAAAATGTACAAAATATTTATAGTCATCATATGATTTTTAAAGGCAATATTCCTAGTGCAGAAAATATCTAAATATCTTTATTATAGCACACAGGTTTACCTATTTAAAAAGTTGTTTGCATGTGCATGGGCTAGTGGAATTTTAACCTTGAAAAATATTCTCAGTGTGAGTATATATGTACAAGAAAGAGACAAGAACAGAGGCGGGAAGATGCCATACTTTTGATATTTAACTTCTCTTTGTTTATCCAGTTAGTGGCTTGTGTATATGAGGGGAAGAATCAGACCTGTTAGGTGGGGAGAGGTGATATGGTGCTATTTTACAGTATCTTCGGGTTATAGATTGAGGGAAACCATAGGAATTTGCTGTATTCATTCACTTTTGATGTACAAAACAGTTTTATATATCTCAATCTAATGTAGATATTGTGTGTATCGTATGACTAGACCATCAAACTTTGGAGTTAAAAGGATCCTAAAAAATTAGTCAAGTATCGCAGTTTCATTATACATGACAAAACACATCCATGGAACCAAGGCATGTCCAAGCTAATCACTCCCAAAATGTAGAAAAGGATATGAAATTCAAATGTGTCCGAACTGTTGCCAAAGATAGTTGATTAAATGACTACTAGCGAATTAAAGGGCTTCTCTGGTCCTTTAAAGTGATAAAGATATCTGTGATCAGTGCAGGAGACACAGGAGACATGGGTTCAATCCCTGGTTCGGGAAGATCCCCTGGAGTAGGAAGTGGCAACCCACTCCAGTATTCTTGCCTTGAAGATCCCATGGACAGAGGAGCCTGGTGGGATATAGTCCACAGGGTTGCAAAGAGTCAAACACAACAGCACACACACAAAATTAAAATGTAGTTGATGTAGCATATATGTACTTGAATTTCCTGTTCAGGACTTACTCTTTTCAACCTACTCTTTCATGTGCTAATAGTCTCATCGAGGATTCAACCCTTCTTTGCAGTAATCATTGTTTGGTTTGGATCTATAATATTACTCATTATTTCCCCCCCAGTTTAACTTTTTACTAACAGTACCATTGTAGTAATCTGTATGAGATTCTGTGGTTTTAAGGATCTCGTTTGGAAACATAGAAATGCCTGCATGGTTATACAGTATTGTTTTCTGATAGTATTTAAAGTAGCAAAGGTGGAGGGAGAATCTTTCCACTTCCCTCACCAGTGGAGTTGAGTCAGTGTTTGTTAAAGCGAGGTACATCCCTTTTCCTTTTCAGAGGGGGGAAATAAACCCTCTAGGTGACTGCTTCTCCAGGCCTCCAAATGAAATGGTTTTCTTTTGTAATTCTAATACTGTTTTGTTTTGTTTTTTTATCAGTACAAAGAATATTTTTTAAGTTTTTGAAGAAAGCAGCCACATCCATCTTTTAAGAATATGTGCATGCTTGGTCGATCAATTGTGTCCAACTCTTTGCGACCCCATGGACTGTAGCCTGCCACGCTCCTCTGTCCATGGGATTTCCCAGGCAAGAGTACTGGAGTGGGTTGCCATTTTCTACTCCAAGGGATATTCTTGAGTGAGGGATTGAACCCGCATCTCTTACATCTCCTGCCTTGGTGGGCAGATTCTTTTCCACTGTGCCACCTAGGCTTGCCTTTAAGAACATATTCTCCTGAAATAATAAGCAGGAATATTCAGCCTTTCCTTCTGAAGTTTTAAGATTGCCAGTCCTGCAGTGAGAATGCCTGGGATGAAAGCTAAGCTATACCCTTATTAGCTAATGTTCTTGAGGTTTTATTTCTGTATGCCTTCATTTTATTTTCTGTAAAGTGAGGTCCCTTATAGTATTCATTTCATCAGCTGTTGGGAGGATTAGATTAGTTAATGCACATTAAAGGTACTGTATCAGATAGAATGCTTTTATAGTTACAACTCAGACTGGCTCAAGCAATGAAGGAATTTATTGTCTCAAGCAATGAAGGAATTTATTGTCTCAAATAACAGGTGAGTCTTGACTCTGCAGCTCAGTGATTTCATTGAGGGCATTTTTTTCCCCTTTCCCTCTCTTTTTGCTGCTATGATGTTGGCCATATCTTAAGATGGACTCTCCTGGTGCCTCCCACTCCTGAAGCTCCATGCTTCTTTGTTCACGTCCATCTGGACAGAGACAGAGGGGAGGGGATGACTTTGTCTCAGCATTTCTAACCAAATTCTGAGATTCTCTCTGCTTGGTACTAGCTTATGCAAGTGTCCATGCTTGACCAGTAACCTCAGCAAGGGGAATAGAGTGCACTTACTTAGATCAGTCAGTGATCCACGTAGGGTCACTTCTCCAGAACCTCATGGCTTTCTAAGTGGAAAGAGGAGACGGGAGACTGCATGTCAGGAGTGGGCAACTCTTAAATGTCTGGTACTAAGTAAGATGTTTCAGAAAGTACTGTTATTAAGGAAGTAGGATTGGTTGAATGTCTACGTTACGTCCAGTGCTATATGCAGGGATCACATGTATTCTCTCACCTTTAACAGAGAGATGTTGTTATCCCCTCTAACAGATGGGGATTTCCCTGGTGGATCAGCTGGTTAAGAATCCACCTGCAGTGCAGGAGACCAGCGTTCGATCCCTGGATCAGGAAGATCCTCTGGAGAAGGCAATGGCAAACCCCTCTAGTTTTCTTCCCTGGAGAATTTCATGGAGGGGCCTGGCAGGCTACAGTCCATGGTGTCGCAAAGTGAGCGACTAACACTTACTTAATAGATGAGGAAACTGAGGCTCAGCAAGAGTAACTTCTCCAAACCTATAGAAGTAACTTCTACAAAGTTACTAAGTGGCAGAGATGGGATTCAAATTGAGATTTTTCTCAAAACCTTTGCCACATGTCCCAGTGATTTCTTTTTTCTTGCTAAGAAAAGGGGTGATCCAGGGGAAATGACAGATGGGTTTGGTGGGAACTAAGAGAACTAATGAAGTTAATAGATTTGTGTCTGACCTGAGGTTTTCCATTTAACAGATCATGACAACTGGCCCAAGGGAACAGGGGACCTTTCTCCTGTCAAAAGCATAAAAGAGTCTTCTAACCGTACAGCCAAGCTGTAAGCTAAGGAAACATGGAAGTGTCCTTTGTCCCCACGTGCCTTAACATCTCGACAATGCACTTCTGTACTTTACAGGAACTTATCATCTGTATGGGAAACTCACATTCTGATTTTTAATATTAATCAATTACATCTATGCAAAAGTTATTCCTGATATAAATACATCTTTAAGTGCCAACCAATGTTCTTTAACTCATGATCAAAAAAAAATTTAGGAGTGGAAATTAACGTAATTTGTGATTATACTTTTAATTCTGAGAAAGGTCTTTGAAAAGTGAAATAGTTTCAGGTTAATGATAGTGGTATTATGATCTCCCAGGAGGTTCTAATATTTCATTATAAATATTACAATAAATCTGAATTGTGGCATCATTATGATTTTCACAACAATGACTCATTTTTGATGGCAAGTACTTTTGGATCAATAAAGCTTTATATGATTATTGATATGTGGTTTGTTCATGAAGTCATATTTGTACAAACCCTCTTAATAAAAAAGAAAAATGAAGTCATAAGTGGTATTTTTTTCTGTCCTTGACTTGATCTGTGTCTTGATTTCTTAGCTAAAGTATTCCCCTTTATTCCATGTTTCTGCTTTTATATGCAAAAAAAAATTTCAATTAAAATCTATGCAGCTGTTTTAGGGTTCAGTATTCTTCCTTCCATTGATCCTTTCTGTCCATTGATCCTGATTTGTAGAGTGTCATCTACAAACTGTTTATGTTCATTTTTTTTCTCTTCATCAATGAAACCTGTTTAAATTGACTTATTCCCTGTTGAAGTGAAGTAGTTTCTTTAACAGTTACACTCAGTTCAAAGCATATTATCGGCCAAATCCTGAGCGAGGTGGGGCAGGGCGGATGTGGGCTGCAGAAATTGCAGAATCTGCGATTTTATCAGCATCCCAAGCAGGTCCGGGACTAGGACGAGGCTAATGAGCTGCTGTGGTTGCCCCATGTAAGGAGGTGCTCACTCTTGGGTGTGAACACGGGAGGGTCGCCCTTGAGAGTGAGCCCAAGCTCACTTTAACATTGTGTGCATGCTGGGTATGTAGCAGAAATCTTCTTTTCCTCCTAGACTGCATTTTAATAGTAGCCTTCTGGAGGTGATGACATCACACCTCCTAAGAATTACAAGTTGGCTTAAAGGGCAGGGTGGCCCCAGCACAGGTTGGTGCAGAAAATGAAAGAAGCAGGGCTTGCTTTTCAAATTACCTCTTGTTGATGATGGTTGATGACCCCTTATATCTCCCTAGGTTGAAATTTGCTGATTTCTATTCAACGCATGGAGCCTGCCCTATGTAGCACTAAACTTAGCTACAACTCCTTATTAGATCTTCTTGTTCAACCATTGCTGTACTCCATGTGTTCATTGTTGTTCAACCAATGCTTGCCTGCCCTATGTAGCACTATGTAAACTTGGCTCCAAGTCCTTATTAGGTCTTCTTGTTCAACCATTGCTGGACAGCTGATCATTAGCTGTGCTCTGGAATTAGAAGTCTGCACTCCAGGATTTCTCTGTGTTGTGATAGTGCCTTGTCAATAATGTTCTTCTGCAACTGCACTTGGTAAATTTTGCTATAAACTGGATGTTCCTGAATGGAACTCATTCATTCAGCTAATAATTTGGTGCCCATTCTATGTGCTCAGCATAATGGTAGGAGTTGGATGTTCAGTAGTGAAAAAGAAATATATATATATATATAAATACAGAAATATAAATTTTAAGTTTTGATTTATCTATTTTTATTGAAGTGTGGTTGATTTACAATGTTGTATTAGTTTCAGGTGTATAGCAAAATGATTCTCACACACCCCCCCACGCACACATACACATATTCTTTTTCAGATTCTTTTCCATTTTAGGTTATCACAAGGCACTGAATATAATTCCCTGTACTATACAGTGGGCCCTTATTTATCAATTTTGTAATAGTACTATGTATCTATTAATTCCAGACTCCTAATTAATCCCCCCTTTCCGCTTTGTTAGCCATAAAAATTTGTTTTCTATGTCTGTGAGTCTGTTTCTGTGTTGTAAATAGGTTCAGTTGTATTATTAAGATTCCACATATAAGTGATATTTGTCTTTCACGCAGTATGATAATCTCTAGGTCTATCCATGTTGTTACAGATGGCATTATTTCATTCTTTTTATGACTGAGTAGTATTCAGTTATATACATGTACCATATTTTCTCTGTCAATAGACATTTAGGTTGCTTCCATGTCTTGGCTATTATAAATAGTGCCGCTATGAACATTGGGGTGAATGTATCTTTTTGAATTAGAGTTTTCCTCTTTTCCAGATGTATGCCCAGGAGTGGGATTGTTGAATCATATGGCAACTCTTATTTTTAGTTTTTGAGGAACCTCCATACTGTTTTCCATAGTGGCTGTACCAGTTTATATTCCCACCAGCACAATAGGAGGGTTCCCTTTCCTCTGTACCCTCTCCGGCATAAAATTCTGCATTATTTTAAGTGCTAACAAGGATAAGGTCATGGTACTAAAGGCATGTAAGAAGGGAAGAAAAGGACATCTAAGGGGAAAAAAAAAGACATTTCTATATTTACTCACTTCAAAAGAGGTTGTTGATAAGATGACCTTTGTGGATGTTATCACCCCTCTCTCTCTCTCTCTCTCTCTCACACACACACACACACACACACACACACACACACACTGGTCTTTTAGTTCGTGGCTTGTGTTAGTTCAGGTTCTCAGAGAAGAAGATGCCAAGACACAGTAAAACATGCATGTGACGTCTGGAGAATGTGCCCATGGAGGATAAAGGGCAGGGAGCCCAAGAAGGCATCCATAGCCTTCAGACCACGATGGTGTCTGACACCTGTAGAAGAGGGAGGGATAGAGGAAGGGGCAGGAAACACCTCTTTCCAAAAGAGGTTTTGCTCAGTCCACAGCTGTCACGTCAGTCGGTCCACAAGTCTTTTAGTTCAGCCTCTGATTTTCTGGTGGCTCAGACAGTAAAAATCACTGCAGATGGTGACTGCAACCATGAAATTAAAAGACGCTTGCTCCTTGGAAGAAAAGCTATGACAAACCTAGACAGAGTATTAAAAAGCAGAGACATTACTTTGCCAATAAAGGTCCACATAGTCAAAGCTATGGTTTTTCCAGTAGTCATGTATGGATGTGAGAATTGGACCATAAAGAAGGCTGAGTGTTGAAGAATTGATGCTTTTGAACCATGGTGTTGGAGAAGACTCTTGAGAGTCCCTTGGACTGCAAGGAGATCCAACCAGTCCATCCAAAAGAAAATCCTGAATAGTCATTGGAAGGACTGATGCTGAGGCTGAAGCTCCAATACTTTGGCTGCCTGATGTGAAGAGCTGACTCATTAGAAAAGACCCTGATGCTGGGAAAGATTGATGGCAGGAGGAGAAGGGGATGACAAAAGACAAGATGGTTGGATGGCATCACAGACTCGATGGACATGAGTTTGCGCAAGCTCCAGGAGATGGTGAAGGACAGGGAAGTCTCGCGTGCTGTAGTCCATGGGGGTCACAAAGAGTTGGGCACGACTGAGTGACTGAACAACAGATGGTAAAGAATCCACCTGCGGTGTGGGAGACCTGGGTTCAGCCCTTGCATTGGGAAGATGCCCTGGAGAAGGAAATGGTAACCCACTCCAGTATTCTTGCCTGGAGAATTCCATGGACAGAAGAACCTGGCAGGCTATAGTCCATGGGCTTGCAGACTCAGACACAACTGAGTGACTAACACATATATATTTTGATTTCCAATGGAATACAGACACACTTCAAAACTCCCCTTTTAAAAGCCTTTTAAAAATCAGACACGGTGTTCTTAAGATAAAAGCCTAAAAAAAGAAGCCATCTTTGTTTCATGTCAACATTGAAATTAGAGTACTAAATCAATACAACTGATAATTTAAAAGCTTAAGGTATGAGGAAAGAGTATCAGCTCTATAGTCCTGGAAGCAAACTTGATGTTCACCAGTACACCCCCATCACTTTTCAATGTCATGTTCTTTCTTATCTGTATCAAAACTCATACTGAGCAAAGAGTTATGGGTTGCAAAAGAGGATTTCTTTTTGCACCTATCTATAAATCTTTGTGTACAAATTAAAAACAAACAGAAGTGCTCTCCCATTTGTTTTTAACACTACCAGGTGCTTGGCTCAAAAGTGTCCCCTTGTGGTTAATGGTGGAACACCAGCCTGTCTGAGCAGCACCTTTTTGGGTTTCTAAGATCTGGCTGCGGAGCTTCAACTTGAGCTGTGGTTTCCTCTCAGGATTTCTTCTCCACTCCTAGTTTACAAAGGTTCCACTTCACCAAGTGGCTGTTCATTGAAATAAGGAAGGTTTGAACCATGTTAAAGTCATATTAGATCAAAAGCTAGTGGTTATATCATTAGCCCTTGTTTTGAGACAGTCATCTAAAGGGATACTTATCTCCAGTTATCTAAAGGGATATTTTGAATCTTGTGGACAACACTGTTTGTGACTTGTATGGCAACTAAATCCATCTGTTGGTTAGCCCAGTCATGGCCCTCTGAGTAAGAGGCACGCCTGCCCTCTGCCCCTAGTAGGAGTTTGTATTGTGGGGACCTGCCAGGTCCTGATGCTTTCATCATCTGCACTGCATTCCTGGGGATCTCCTGATTCCTCCTCTGCCCCCTCACCTGGTTCTCAAAGGTGAGCCTCCTCACCTTTGCTCAGCCTCCAAACCTACTCTCCTGGAGGCTGTCAGTTCTCTAAAAGGAAACATTTCCCAAGTCCCTTCTGATTGAAGCCACTTGGCTGAGGTTGCTATTAAGTGAAAGTGTTTTGGCTCAGTCAGTGTCCAACTCTTTGTGACCCATGGACTGTAGACTGCCAGGGTCCTCTGTCGATGGAATTCTCCAGGCAAGAGTACTGGAGTGGCTAGCCATTTCCTTCTCCAGGGGTTCTTCCCGACCCAGGAATTGAACCTGAGTCTCCTGCATTGGCAGACGGGTTCTTTACCTCTGAGCTAC